CGACGACGATCAAGTGTAGTATATGTTCTGATCAGTTAAATATCGGAAGCGAGGGAGAGAGGGAGTGAGAGAGAGAGAGAGAGAGAGAGAGAGAGAGAGAGAGAGAGAGAGAGAGAGAGAGAGAGAGAGAGAGAGAGAGACAATAAACTAACTACCCGGCTCATCCCCCATGACTTCTGTGCCCCTGCCGCCCTCCTCCGCGCTCTTCCGCCGCTTCTTCACTCTCCCCGCTCCTCCGCCACACCTCCACAGCTCAGGGAAAAAGGACGTTCCTCCCTGCCGGTCTTTCTCTATGTGTCTGGCGCCAAGCTTGCTGAGGAAGGTTTATGAGGCCAACGGGGATTGAACCCAAGACCTCATGAATGCCACTTGCGTGCCATACCAACCAAGGTACGCCCCTGAATTTCAGTCTAGAGTCGGGTAAGACAGTAGGGGTAGACATAGCATGCCAGCGGTTGCAGAACCTCCCCAACTAGCAGGAGGTGCTGCACACACATTGCCATAGCTGTTAGGGCACAACTCCCCACGGTACCATGAGTCTGAAAACACCCCCGACCACCACCCCAAAACCCACTAACACACCGCCCCGACTCATTTCTCCCATTTCCCCCTCAATCCCTTGCGAGCAAAGCCGCAACAGGTACCCTTGTAAAGTCGATAGAAACCGAATCTCCGGGTCCTAATGGAATAGGCAAGTGTGGCATTCTGAGCCACACGGGCCCCAGTTAGGGCCCGGTTCCAGGTAGACAGGGTAGGCCTAAGGGGGACGACGGTTCAGATAAGGCCCAGGTAGGCCAGGGGCACGACGGTTCAGGCAGAGGCCCGGGCCAACGGCCACCAGGCCGGTACCGGTCCAGCATAGGACTAACTGGCGGCGCAGTTTCAGAGGCTGCCATGTTTAGGCGCCAAGTCCAGTTTGAATCTGGACCATTGATCAAGATCAACGGTCCAGGCCGGTAGGTACCAGCAGGTAGGAGGCCGGCCCAGCACTACAAATGGCTGGGTACCAGCCTCAGTAGAAGTTAGTGAGGTTGGAGTTAGTCTTCAGGATTAGCGCAGCCTTGCAGCGTTAGCGCAAGCAGTGAGGAGAGGACGAGCGCAGCGGCGAGAAGGAACAGGCCTTCTCTCCCTCTGTTCCTCCGCCCCCTTGCTCTCTCTCTCTCTCTCTCTCTCTCTCTCTCTCTCTCTCTCTCTCTCTCTCTCTCTCTCTCTCTCTCTCTCTCTCTCTCTC